TTTTTTTGAGAGGGAGTCTCACTCTGTTGCCCAGGCCGGAGTGCAGTGGTGTGATCTCAGCTCACTGCAGTGTTTGCCTCCCGGGTTCAAGTGATTTTCCTGCCTCAGCCTCCTGAGTAGCTGGGACTATAGGCACATGCCCACCACGCCCGGCTAATTTTTTGTATTTTGAGTAGAGACGGGGTTTCTCTGTGTTATCAGGATGGGCTTTGATCTCCTGACCTCGTGATCTGCCTGCCTTGGCCTCCCAAAGTGCTGGGATTACAGGCCTGAGCCACTGCACCTGGCCTACAACTTTTTTCCATAGTGTATATCCTAATTTATCTTTATACCAACAATGCATGAGATTTTCCCTGTATCCAAATCCACACCAGCATTCTTTTTAATTTTTAAGATATTTTCAGTAACATTCCAGTAGGTGTGGGATGGTACCTGGATGTGGTTATGGAGTACATTCTTTTCTAATGAATAGTAATGTTGAGGACCTTTTCTCTTACGTGTTTGTGCATTTTATGGCATTTTTGCAGCGATGTCAATTCAGGTTTTCTGCCTGATTTCAGTTTGGATGTGTATTTTTTATGCTATTTGGTATTTTTTTTTTTCTGTGTACATGTTTGATAACAACCAGTTATCACTTCTATGATTCCCTCCTATTTTCTCATAATCTTTCTCTTTTTTGAGACAGGTCACTCTCACCCAAGCTGGAGCACCGTGGCACATCACAGGACCATGTATATTGGAATATTGGCTACCTACAGCTTTGTAGCGCTATTTGATATCAGGAATTGTGAGTCCTCCAACTTAGTTTGTATTTTTCAGGGTTCCTTAGATGTTCAGGACTATTTGTGGTTCCATGTTAATATTAACATTGTGTATTTAAACTTTTTTTTTTTTTTTTTTTTGACGGACTCTTGCTCTTTCGCCAGGCTGGAGTGCAGTGGCGTGATCTCGGCTCACTGCAACCTCCACCTCCTGGGTTCAAGCGATTCCCCTGCGTCAGCCTCCTGAGTAGCTGGAACTATAGGCATGTGCCACCACACCTGGCTGATTTTTTTTCTTTTGTAATTTAGTAGAGACAGCGTTTTATCATGTGTTGGCCAAGATGGTCTCTATCTCTTGACCCTGTGATCCACCTGCCATGGCCTCCCAAACTGCTGGGATTACAGGCGTGAGCCACCGAGTCCACCCATCCCCACCCCCTACC